AATGGGGTATAGAGGGGACTTTCCTCAACATAGTTAAAGCCATCTACCACAAGCCTACAGCAAGCATCATCCTCAATGGGGAAAAATTGAGAGCCTTCCCTCTAAGATCAGGGACGAGACAAGGATGCCCACTCTCTCCACTGCTGTTCAATATAGTACTGGAAGTACTTGCAATAGCGATTAGGCAAGAAAAAAGATATTAAGGGCATTCAGGTAGGAAAGGAAGAAATCAAGCTCTCACTATTCGCAGATGATATGATACTATACTTAGAGAACCCAATAACTTCCACCAAAAAACTTCTAGAAACAATAGACTCGTATAGTAAAGTTACAGGCTATAAAATCAATACCCAAAAGTCCATGGCTTTTCTATACGCAAACAGTGAGAGAGAAGAAAGCGACATGAAAAAAACAATCCCGTTCACAATTGTGCCCCAGAAAATCAAGTACCTAGGAATCAGCTTAACTAAGGAAGTAAAGGACCTGTACAAAGAAAACTACAAAACGCTACTTCAGGAAATAAAAGAGGACATGAGGAAATGGAAAGATATCCCCTGCTCATGGGTCGGGAGACTTAACATTGTCAGAATGGCAATACTACCGAAAGCATTGTATAAATTCAATGCAATCCCTATAAGGATACCCATGACATTCTTCAAAGAAATGGAGCAAACACTCCTGAACTTTATATGGAACAATAAGCCCCCGTGAATAGCTAAAGCAATTCTTGGGAAAAAGAAAATGGGAGGAATCAACCTCCCTAACTTCAAACTCTACTACAAAGCAGTAATAATTAAAACAGCGTGGCACTGGAACAAAGACATAACTGCAGACCAGTGGAACAGGGTTGAATACACTGACATCTCCCCTCAATCATATGATCATCTAATCTTTGATAAAGGTGCAAAAAATGTGAAGTGGAGTAAGGAAAGCCTCTTTAACAAATTGTGCTGGCATCACTGGACGGCTACATGCAAAAAAATGGGCTGAGAACTCTGCCTAACACCATGTAAAAAAGTAAGATCAAAATGGATTAAAGACCTCAACATCAGACCAGAAACCATAAGGTACATTGAAGACAAAGTTGGCAAAACCCTCCATGACATTGAGGCTAATGGTACATTCAAAGATGCCACGCCACTGGCCGAGCAAGTAAAAACAGAGATAGATAAATGGGACTATCTTAAACTAAGAAGCTTCTGCACCTCCAAAAAAACAGTGACCAAAACACAAAGACAGTCTACAGAATGGGAAAGGATATTCACCGAATACACATCCGACAAGGGGTTGATATCAAGGATATACAAAGTACTGGTTGAACTCCACAGGAAGAAAACATCCAATCCCATCAAAAAATGGGGCAATGAAATGAACAGAAACTTTCTCAAAGAAGAAATCCGAATGGCAAAAAAGCACATGAGAAAATGCTCTACATCATTAATCATCAGGGAGATGCAGATCAAAACCACAATGAGATACCATCTCACACCTCAGAGACTGGTCAAAAGAACAAAAGCAACCGATGCTGGCGCGGATGTGGCGAGAAAGGAACACTCCTTCACTGTTGGTGGGAATGCCGACTAGTTCAGCCCTTTTGGAAAACAGTATGGACGCTTCTGAAAAAATTAGAAATTGAGCTCCCATTTGACCCAGCAATACCACTCCTGGGAATATACCCCAGAGAGGCAAAAATGTGTAGTCTGAGTGACATCTGCACTTGTTTGTTCATTGCAGCACTCTTTACAATAGCCAGAAACTGGAAGAAACCTGAGTGCCCAAGAACAGATGACTGGTTAAAGAAACTTTGGTACATCTACACAATGGAGTACTATGTAGCTCTTAGAAAAGATGAAGTTATGAAATTTACATACAAGTGGTACAACATGGAAAGTATCATGCTGAGCAAAATGAGTCAGAAAGAGAGGGATAGACATAGAAAGATTGCATTCATCTGGGGGATATAAAGTAACAAAGTATGAGATTAAAAATACCCAAGAATAGCTGAGATCAGCACCAGGAGGATTACTCCATAGCTTAGAGGCCAGCCAGGCATTCTAGGGGAAAGGGCAGCTCAGATAGAGAAGGGAGCACCAAATAAAGGATGTTTGGAGGATCCTCCCAGGAGAGGAGATGCATGTCGAAAGTAGACTATAGACTGAACATGTTTGCCACTCAATGCCTCTTTTGCAGACCACAACACCCAAAAGGAGAGAGAAAACAAAAGGAAATACCCTGCCACAGAGGCAGGGTGGGATGGGGGGGATGGGGGTGGGAGGGATATTATCCATGGTGGTGGAAAATGGGCACTGGGGGAGGGATGGGTATTTGATCATTGTATAATCGAAACCCAAGCATAAAAAATTGTAAATCTACAACTGTACCTCATGGTGTTTCACTAATTAAAAATTTTAAAAAAAGACAGTGCTGAGATGCCACCTCACACCAGGGACAATGGCATGTATCAAGAATGCTGCGGACAATCTGTGCCAGTGGAGAAGTGGTGAGAAAAGGACTTTCATCGCTATTGGTGGGAATGTTGTCTGGTTGGATCTGTGTGGAAAACAGTATCAAGAATCCTCATTAAATACAGTCTACAGAATGGGAAAGAATATTAACATAATACCCTTCTGATAAGGGGTTAATATCAAGGATATACAAGGCCCTGGTTGAACTCTACAAGAAGAAAACATCCAATCCCATCAGAAAATATGGCAATGAAATGTACAGAATCTTTCTCAAAGAAGAAATCCGAATGGCCAAAAGGCACATTATAAAAGGCTCTTCGCCACTAATCATCAGGGACATGCATATCAAAACAACAATGAGATATCATCTCATACCGCAGAGACTGGCCCACATCCAAAAGAACAAAATCAACCAGTGTTGGCATGGATGTGGGGAGAAGAGAACTCTCCTTCACTGCTGGTGGGAATGCCGACTGGTTCCGCTCTTTTGGAAAACAGTATGGACGATTCTCAAAAAATTAGAAATTGAGCTCCCATTTGACCCAGCAATACCACTTCTGGGAATATATCCTGGAGATTCAAAAATATATACTAGAAATGACATCTGCACTTCTATGTTTATTGCAGCACTGTTTATAATAGCCAGAATCTGGAAAAAACCTGAGTGCCTGAGAACAGACGACTGGTTAAAGAAACTGGTACATCTACACAATGGAATAGTATGCAGCTGTTAGAAAAGATGAAGTCATGAAATTTTCATATAAGTGGATGGTCATGGAGAGTATCATACTAAGTGAAATGAGTCAAAGAGAGAGGGACAGACATAGAATGACAGCACTTATTTGTGGAATATAAAGTAACAGAATGGGAGACTAAAACCTAAGGATAGTAGAAAGAAGGGCCAGGAGGACCACTTATGGCTTGGAAGCCGGCCTCACATGGTGGGGGCAAAGGCAGCTAAAATAGAGAATGGACCATCAAGTAAAGGGTACATGGAGGGCTCACTCGGGATGGGAGATGCGTGCTGAAAGTAGACTATAGACTGAACATGATGGCTACTTAATACCTATATTTCAAACCATAACACCCAAAAGGAGAGAATAAAAGGGGAGAGGTGGAGGAGGAGTAGGTGGGGAGCTGGTGGGAGGGATACTGGAAACATTCGTGATGGACAATGGGCACTGGTGGAGGGATGGGTACTCGATCATTGTATGACTGAAACGTAAGCACGAAAGTTCGTCAGTCTGTAACTGTACCTCACAGTGATTCATTAAAAAATTAAAGAATAAGAAATAAAAATAAATTTTTAAAATTTAAATTAAATTTAAAAAGAAAATAAAATAAGCCTCAGCAAACTTAACATTGAGGTGCCATGTGACCCAGCAATTCCACTTCTCAGTATCCTCAAGTCACAGAACTCTAATCTGAAAGATCGGCTGCATCGTGGTGCATTGGAGCACTTTGTGCAGCAGCTAGAATACAGAACCAAGCCAGGTGTCCAGCAGTAAGTGAGTGGACAGTGAAGGCACCGTGCAGAAGCACCATGGCATACTAAGGGGCCACAAGGAAGGACAAGACCACACAATTCACTAACAACATGAACGCCACTGGAGGAAACTCACATTGAGTGAACCAAGTCAGAAGCCGGGCCCTGGATAAACTCACCTCTCTGTGGTTTATTCTATAGACCATTAATATATGACTGGGGAATGCAAGGTACCCTCGGCCCTACTCAAGAACTAGAAGAATCGGAAGAGAGAGAAAAGGAGAGAGGAGGAAGAAGGGATGAGAGGGGCCAAGGTCATTGGACACATCAGTTGGTATAGAGGTGGCATATACATCTGTAGCTAAACCACAGCTCCATTATTACTGTAAGCAGGGGGCCCAAACGAGAATAATTAAACTCAAAAATGTACCTGTTGGACTTGAGCAATAGTGCAGCAAGTTCTTGCCTTGCATGCGGCTGACTTGGGCTCAAATTCCTGTACCACATTGTCCCCCAAGTCCCACCAGGAGTGACCTCTGAGTGTAAGCCCTGAGCACCTCTCGATGTGGTCCAAAAACCAAAGGGGGAAAAATGTACGAGTTAAGGTGGCAATTTGGGGGGTGGGAGAGAACTTGGGAACGTGTTTGGGGGAAGCTGACAGCCATAGGATAGGTGTTGGGACATTGTATGCTTAGCAACTTAAACTTGTTTAAATATATATATATATATATATATATATATATATTGCTTTTTGGGTCACACCCAGAGATGCTCAGAAGCTACTCCTGGCTCTGCACCCAGGAATCACTCCTGCAGTGCTTGGGGAACCATATGGGGTGCCGGGGATTGAACCCGGGTCAGCTGCATGCAAGGCAAATGCCCTACCCGCTGTGCTATCGCTCTGGCCCTAAATATATATTTTTAAATATATAAAACAATTGTAAAGAACGGCAGAATGAAGCAGTCCTGGCAGGCAGCAAGACACTGATGGGCCTGGCCGCTTCCACCAAGAGTCCCCAAGCATCCATGGCAAATATATGGAGAATTACCTTTCTTCTCTCGCCTCGAAGGGTAGTAGCAGCAGAATATTACCACCAGGACAATGATCAGGATCAACAGCAGCGTAAGGGAGACGGCCAGGAGCACGATGGCCCAGGTGGGCAGGGCCTGACCTGACTCGCTGCCTGCAAGGTCAAAGGGGAAAGAGAGAGAGAGAGAGAGAGAGAGAGAGAGAGAGAGAGAGGTCAGTGGCTTTGCCTGAGCATGAAATCAGGCAACACCACACCGTGGGTCTAACACAGACCCTAGGGGATGAGCCCCTCAGCCTGTTCTTGGGGCAAGCTGTCCTGGGCCAAGTCCTGGCTCAAGGTGCTGAAACAGGCCACACCTCACCATATGGATTACAGCACACAATTGCCTGCCCAGGGCCAGTCCACAGGCCAGCCACCACACCTCTGCCCTCCTGAGTTAGATAAGGCTGGGACACTGCCCACTGGACGGGTAATGCTGGATGACTCCATCCATGTGTGCAATACCTGCAGATAAAACTGAGGGGCAGAAAAAGCACAACGGTGGCTGGAGTGATAGTACAGTGGTGAGGACATTTGCTTTGCACACGGCCGACCCAGGTTCAATTCCCAGCATCCCGTATGGTCCCCCAAGCACCACCAGGAGTAATTCCTGTGTGCAGATCCAGGAGTAACCCCTGACTATCGCCAGGTGTGACTCATAAAGCCAAAATTTAAAAAAAAGAAAACAATAGAGAGAGAGAGAGAGAGAGAGAGAGAGAGAGAGAGAGAAAGAGAGAAAGAAAGAAAGAAAAAAAGAAAGAAAGAAAGAAAGAAAGAAAGAAAGAAAGAGCACAACGGGAAAAGGAGAGAAACAGGCAGTAGGAGAGAATGTAGATCCCGTGGCCCTTAAACTCGAACCCTGTGCTCTGGGCATCTTAGTCGCTTCCAGTGGGATCGTGGGCAAGAGGGCAGGATGGGGTGTTCTAGCCAGTCACTGCACACGACCTGCTCCCCCACACAGACCCAAGGGCCTGTCTCCAGGCACCTCTTATTTCCCTCAAACCTTGATGTTCCAGCAAGATTTGGACCTACTGCCCAAATTTTGAAAGCGTGTTTTCTCTTATTGAATTTGATTTCAGTAACTAGCATGGCCCCTCCTAAGAGGGCTGAACCCCTGAAAGATAAGTGCAGAAATAAATATAGAGGTTAAAACATATTCTTTTTTTTATAAATTGGTAATACAGAAATTGTGCCATGAGCAGTGTGCTTGCCTTGCTTGTGGTTGACCCAGGATCTATCCTCAGCATCCCAAAATTGAAATAAATTAAAATTACCTACAGTCAAGCCTCAACCACAGTTGCCCTGGCCGCACATCAAGTGCGTCCCTAAGCACCAGGAATGATTTTTTTTTCTAAGTTTCTTATAACTTAAAAGACTGTATCAGAATCGCCCAATCCAAGCCAACCATCCTTTTGTCCTTTTTTTGTTAAGAGTCACTGTGTTTCGTGTATGATGTAGGGTTGCTATTCTGGAAAACCAATATAATACGGCTTCTCAACTTTGCCTGGATTTGTTTTCTTTCACTTTGGACATCTTGCATGGCCTCTCCCCAGGAACCAGGAGCGATTTCTGAGCCCAGAGCCAGGAGACAGCCCTGAGCATCCTGGGTGTGGCTCCAAAATCAAAAAAGAGAGAGGGAGGTTCTGGAGTAATAGCACGGGGGGTGGGTTAAGATATTTGCCTTGCATAGAGCGGACCCAGGTTCAATTCCCAGCATCCTATATGGTCCCCTGAGCACCACCAGGAGTGATTCTTGAATGCAAAGCATTGCTGGGTGTGAGCAAAAAAGCAGAGAGAGAGAGAGAAAGAGAGAGAGAGAGAGAGAGAGAGAGATACAGAAATATAGATAAATAATAAGCAATAAGCAAGCCAGGAAATCTAGACAACAGAACTGAGTTTCCTTGAGGGCAGCTGTGTAAATGGGGTGGACTTATCTGGGGGAAACTTTTGTTTGTTTAATTTTATTTTTTGTTTGTTTGTTTAATTTTAAAGATAAGATAAAACAAAAGCTTGGAGCAGTAAATCCCAGGAAGACTGGAAGGACACTCTCCACCATGCCAAGTGGGGGCACCCCAGGTCCCTTCGAAGGTCTCAGGGTGGGATCTGAGCCTGTTTCCAGTCCGCAATCCTTTCCTGGGCCTGCAGAAAACAGCTTCTGCAATGTGGGATCAGCAGGAAATGGAAGCGAGGACAAGAGGGCAGAGAAAGAAAAGCCATCTGGGTTGGGAACACCGCCTTGACCAAGCTGGGTTCCCTGCAGTTAGCTAAACTCAAATTTACATTAATTAAAATTATATACAATTAATCCCCGGGCACCACAGTTTCCCTGTGAGCCCAGCGGGGAGCCCCGCCTTCACCAGCACGGTCCTGCTGCATGATCAGGCTGGCGCTGCCCACTGGCCCGTGGGAACTGCACTATCCCAGAGAGCCTTTATCTGGCTCTTCACTTCCCCTCCCAGCCCCACTGCAGTCAAACCACAAGACCTTTAAGTTGAGCTGTTTAAATGGGAATTGCTCTTCAATAGAACTGTCACTCAGCTCTGAGTACGTGGGTATTTTATTAGATGATTTGCTCTAAGAAATATTTAAACAACAGACTTCCTTCCAAGAACGCTCAGGCTGGCTTTTAAGCTAAGGTCCCTCCAGCACTTTGGAATCAGAGGCTACAATTAAAAGCAGCTCTTACATGTTCTTGCTTAGCATCTTTGCCTAAAAAAAAAAGTGGGGGGTGGGGATCCTGAAATCACCATTGGCTATCCCTGTGCCAAAGTTAGGTGCTCAGAATAAGTCAGTGTGTCTCAAGCCCCTGTCTCATATTGGTTATGGATTGGGTGGATGGATAAATAAGAAGATGTATGGACCCATGAATGAGAGGAAGGATGGATGGATGGACATGGTTGGATGGTTGAGTAGATGAATGCACAAACAGATGAGTGAATGGATGGACAGATGGACAGGCAGAAAGACAAATGCATGAATAGATGTATGGGTACATGACTAGATGTGTGACTGGGTGGACAGATGAATGAATGAGTAGAGAGATGAGTGTGTTGGAATGGATGAATCATGGAGTGAGCAAGGAAGAAAGGATGGATGGATAGATGGACGGACGGATGGACGGACGGATGGATGGATGGATGGGTGAATGGATTAATGGATGGATGGATGGATGGATGGATGGATGGATGGATGGATGGATGAATGGATTAATGGATGGATGGATGGATGGATGGATGGATGGATGGATGGATGGATGGATGGATGGATGGGTGAATGGATTAATGGACGGACGGATGGACGGACAGATGGATGGATGGATGGATGAATGGATTAATGGATGGATGGATGGATGGATGGATGGATGGATGGATGATGATGGGTAGGTGGGTGCATACATAGATTGGTGGATGGATGGACAGGCAGAAAAATATGGATGAATGGGTAGGTGGGTTGAAGGATGGATGGATGGATGGGTAGATGGGTACAGGAATAAATGAAGAAACTGAGTTCTGAGCCTATATGCAGAAGACAATTCTATATGGTTGCCCTAATGCCCATTTTTTTCCTCATATTTAGATGCCCAGAGGAAAAAAAGGATTGCGATAAAGTCAAAACCTTTTTTCTAAAAATCTGTATATCCACATTGCTTATTGTGATAGGCTGGGAGAGAACAGAAGTTCCCGAATATAGGCGGAGAGGAAAGGAGACAGAATTAGACCCTTTCCCAGCTTTCTGCCCCAGCATTAGATCTTTAAAACAAACCAGCTCTGAGGCCAGAAAGATGTTAACACAATGAGGAGGGAATGGCGGGCCACCTAGGTTTGACCCCCAGCATCCCATATGGTTCCCTGAGCACCGCCAGGAGTAATTCCTGAGTGCAGAGCCAGGAGTCACCCCTGAGCATGACCAGGCATGACCCCTCCCCTTCACAAAAAAAAATAATTAATCACAAAATAAAACAAACCAGTGTTGGTGGTGAAATTGGTGTTGGAACATTGACTATCTGAAACAACTGTATTAGGAGCAGCTTTGTAAATCAGAGTGTTTAAATAAAATTTCAAGCATCCAAAACTAAAGAAAAAGAAAAACAAACCTGTGTCCTCCCACCCAGAGAACAACCTGCCTGACCCTCTAGCCCCAGGCCTGGAGGGATGCCAGCTGCTGGTGCCGCTGCCAACACAGAGCCCCCTTCAGTGGGGCCAAGGAAGTGTTCTGAAGTCATGCCAGGGGGTTGGTTCTGGTGAGAAGTCAGTGACTTGCACCCAGGAATTCCTCATGGGCAGCCAAAATGCTGCCAAGCCACCTGCCTCCTGGAGGGACATTCCTGCTTCCCTGCTCACAGGCGCCCCCAAGGCACTGACCAGGAGGGTTCCACCTCCTGACACCCAGTGCAGGTCCCCGCCTCCCTGAACCCTTGGACCCACGCTCCCCCAGGAGTGCCAGGCTTGCCCTGAGAGTGAGGAGCGGCCAGCAGTCAGGCACGTAGAATTCCTGGCTGCCAGGTCACGGTGGCACCCTGATTCCCGCCCGGGGCACGTGCAAACACCAGGAGCTTTCAGAGAGACCCGACCTGGGTTCACAGTAAGCTCTGAGATTCAAGAGTTCGGCAAAGAGGGAAAAAGATCAACACCCTTGCTCTGCCCGGTCCTTATCAGGGGTGTTTCCTCATGCGGGAGCTGTCAGCCTGCCAAGTTTCAGGAGCCTTGGACTCATGCCTGCCCTGGGGCCTGGGACCTGCCCAGGGAGGAGATGAGCAAAGCAAGGCAGTGAGTCAGGGTGCTAGGGTGGCCCTGGCTTCCCTGTCCCTCAGCCCGGCCACCACACGCAGCAGAGCCATGTCCCGCTTGCCGACAAGCCTCCCGCTCTCCCAGCACCGACCGGAAGAGCCTGCCTTCATTTGATATTTTTCTGGGTTTTTGGTAGTTGGGGGGGTGGGGTGGGAGGGACACCCAGCGGTGCTCAGGGCTTGCTCCTGGCTCTGCGCTTAGAGATCCGTCCTGATGGAGCTCAGGACAGGGTGCCAGGGACCAAGGCCAGCCCCTACCACATTCACGGGGCCTCTGCTCCAGGGAGATGCACGCACCAGCTTCGAGATCACGCTCCTGGGGGATGAA